ACAGTACCATCGCAGTAATTAAGTGTTGTAAGTACTATTTAAAGTATGTACATTCAACTGTGGGAAGCCTCAAAACAAAATAAAACTGTAAGAAAGTATTTCTCAGAGACAATATTGCATTTCATTGATGTAATGGAGCCTAGGCTGCATGTGCCCATGCTTCATTCTGACTTTGATAATATCCATCAGTGGGAACTGGCAGAATGATCTCCTCGTATTTGGCAAAAGAGATAATTCACGTCTCACCCTGGAAGTACAATACCGGTCATTTTATCTCTTCTTAACATTATTTGTCCCAATACTACACAGTGAGCAGATTAGAGTGCCTATATTTAATTCTCAAGCACCCGATTATAGCCACTCTAGTTGTCCCCCTCCTCTTATTAAAAAGAGTACACAGTTTTAATTTTGGCATATGAACCACACCCCACCTGGAAATTTTTGTGCCTAAAATTATTTCCAGTTTCTTGTTCTTCTCTTGCCCCATTGTCCATCTAGCTCTCATTTACGAGTGGGATCTACATTTGTAAAAATAAGAATATAAGTATGGAAAAACACTCTATTAAAACTTATTTTAATAACATGGTAATGGTGACAATTATTCAGGTTTTTTGTATTCTTTTGGTTTCTAGTTAACAAAAAAGTAATGAAATAAAAGAAGCTATGCTAATGGATGTAAATTGCAAAAAATAGAGTGGGTTAGTATGAAGCAGAACTCTTTTATAAAGAGATTGCCCTAGAGTGCTTATGTTTCTTGTTTCAAGAACTTGCTCCTCCCTCCTCATCTATTAGTAAAGTTCTCTTTGGGGCAGATGCCAAATGATGAATAAATATGTGAGGCCAAGGTGAAATGACTAGGAACTCAATTGAGAAGAGTCTTCGGGGGGATAGTCGTAAAAAACAAACACAAAACAGGCAACTAAAAATGAGTGTGAAAAAGCTGTCAAGGCAGGGAAACAAATCAGGCAAACTGATTCCTCTCTGACCATTTAGGTACATATTTCTTAATAAGAAATATTGAATTTGTTTCTAAAATGGAAAAAAAAATCGTTTTATTTCTGTAAGTGTTCCTCAACTCAGAACTGAATCTGGATCTGTTTCTATTGTTTATTATGAACTGTCATTTGTAAGTCACTCGTCACCATGTTGGGGAAAAGTACATGTTCTATCACGACGAAAAAAAGAAAAGAGAGAAGAGTGAAATAAATGTGAAACGTTGACCAGAACCCAAGAGATTCTTGTCACACGTGATCTTAAGGAAACTGAAGACAGTCTTCTACTATCTGACTCAAGATGGGGTACAGATATGTATCCTGGCCAGTGACCGTGTCTCCAGAGACTTGAATTACCCACCTGACAGTTACTAGGGAAACACATTTGCTTACACATCAAACTATCAAAAGATTGGAAGACTTCTTTATTACAGATACACAAGTGAAGTCTTCTCTGTAGGTCATCAAGTTGCAGGAGGCCCTTCTTGCCTTTAAAAATATAGTGATGGCATAGAGTCTCACCCTTTCAAATGCAAAGACCCTTTTGTAGGTATCAAGTGCTTTTCCTTTCGCTGCCTACCTTTATTGGATAGTTGCAAAATCTATTGTTTGTAAGGGGCTTCACTATTTTTAAAGTGCTTTCCTTTTATTAACTTCTGACAATTCACTTTTTCTGTTTAACTGTGGAGAATCAGAGGCAGAGAGGGATTAGATAATTTACCCTAGAGAATGTGGCAGAGCTAAACCTGAATATTGAATGTCTAGCTCTAAGTGATGTCTCCCATCTTATTCTAAATCTGTATCAAGGCATCGGTAGAGGACAAAGTAGAAAAGTAGACAACATAAATGAAGTGCTCAATATGTTGAAGGGATTAGCAACTACACAGATATTCCCTTTTGCAGTGCCTTAAGGCAAAAATATCTATTAAAATATAACATTGGCCGGCCTCGGTGGCTCAGCCTGTAATCCCAGCACTTTGGGAGGCCGAGGTGAGTGGATTGTCTGAGCCTGCGGGTTTGAGACCAGCCCAGGCAGCTTGGCGAGACCTCGTCTCTACAATAAATAATAATTTAAACAAATTAGCCGGGTGTGGAAGCGTGCGCCTGGAGTTTCAGCTACATGGAAGGTTGTGGTGGAAGGATTGCTGGAGCCCAGCAGATTCATACTGGGGTGGCCGTGAGTGTGCCACTGCACTCCAGCTTGGGCGGCAGAGTGAGACTATGACTCAAAAAAAAAAAAATTAATAAATTAAAAATAAAATATAACATTAAATTTGGTCTTAAAAAGTTGATAGGAAATTTTGAAACGTGCTAGCTGTCCATGAAAAACACTTTCTTCTTATTTTCCATGTTAGATTTAGAACTATTGAAAAGATAACTTTGCTATGATAAAGTGCAGGACTTGATGTTTTTTAGAGAAAATTTTGAATGAATTTTATTTTATAGGTGAAAGGAAAAAAGATGCATTCAGTCAAAAGTAATGGTGTCTCTAGCTTGCCAAACAATCCATTAAGGAGTTCATCCAGCAAGATCTGAATGATGAGTTTTTTATTTCCTACCTTATCCTAGCACGAAGGATGTTTTATTCACCATTGTATCTCTCACACCATGCATGGTATCTGGCATAACAACATTTACTTTGTTGAATAAATGAACACAGGGCTCTAGTTAGGTTCTGATCCTAGTACTCCACTGAATAACTTTGTAAATGAGAAAGATAATCAATTTGTCTTGGCCTTCATTTTGCCTTCTTTAAAAGAGATAGCTTTAGGTATACTCATTTCTTAAGGATTCCTTTGACTTTGAAATTTTGTTTCTAAAATCTCAAATGGAAAATTTGTTCACATTGCATGTGGTGTTTTGTTTTGCCTTTAAACCTTGTGTATTAGATATCAATAACTTGTTTTCTTGCAGCACTGTGGAGAGCCAATGAGAACTTATTACATGATGGAAAACGAGAAAATCACTTCTGTGCAAACCTGATGAAGGTAATTCACTGTGGGGATAGATGTTACCCTCAGCAACACCAGTATCGTCACACCAAATGTGAGACGAGAGGTGTGTCTCAAGCAGTTTGGCAAGATTTTCTATAGTTCTAGAAATTTGTAAGAAAAGTTTATAGAAATGGTTCCTCCCTATTTCCAACAGATCATCTATAGCATATTAGAGTAGTCTTTTGGCAGGCAGAAAACTTGAGGGAAACACTCAGTCCACACATTCTTCCCTTTTATGGAACAAATGTAATGCACAAAGACTGTCCTTGTAGACTCCTCTACACTATATATGACATGGCTGTAATCTTAGAGTTGGAATTTCCAAATTCAGAATGCTTGAGGCAATTTCTTTTTGGTAGTTTGCTGGTCAGGAGGATTTGTGATGGCATTAATTTGGTCTGCATCAAAAAGTGTTTCAAGAGAAGACCAACAACTCTTCTGGAACACATTTGTCAGAATAGAGCGATGTTTCCCTTAGTAATAAGTAAACTCTCACAGAACAAAATGTTAGTTTTCTGGGAGTAATGAGTATCATTAAAAAGCAAAGATCGATACATATATACGTACATGCATATATAAGATTAAAGTTAATGAGGTGGATAGGATTCATGTTTGGGGAATGCTAGGTTAAGCAAACTTAAGTAGGTTTTTTGGTTGAGGGTCTTCTCAGAACTTCTAATATATCAATATGCTTTGCGGCTTGGATAGAGATTAGGATACAGGTTTCCTTAACATGTTTATTTAAGAAACCCATGCCCCCCCCCCAGAATATTTGGTGGAACTTCTGTTTCATGAAACACAATTTGAGAAGAAATCTATACATGATGACTACGTGAAGTGAGGTTGTTTTTTAAAATCAGAATTTTCAGTTTAGGTATGGCCAGAGGATTTTTAAAAATAAATTAAAAACTAGATATGATATCAAGAGAAAACAGTATTACACTTGGCTACTTAAAATGGTGCATAATTTTAAATAAAGTTGTATTTCATATAATTTTATTATTCACCTTAGGGTATGCAAATATGCTATGGCTTGGTAAAATTAATTTACCCTTGGATTTAAACAACCAAAATAATAAGTTGTGAGCTGTAGAGAGTCTTGGAATTGCTTAAACTGACATTAAAATATTTGTTTTGAAAAACATATTTTTAATTATATAAAGAAAGACATATATGATATTATAAATATTGTGATAGTTTATTTTTTCAAACTTTTCCAAGTATGTGGTGCACATTGAGGAATATACAAATAACTCATTTATTTGTAAAAATTGATACAATGAGCAGAATTCAAAGAGGATGATGATTATTTGTGAAAGTCATGTTTCTAGAATTCTTAAATGATATATCAACATATGCTAACTTCAGCTTCTTATGTTTAATAATGTCTACAATGAATACAATAGAATACTCACTAATGTAAGGCTAATAGTCATAATTAACTCAGAACAGGTTCTTTGAAGGGGTTCAAAGGGCTTTTCATAATAAATTACTAGTAACTCACCAGCTAATATAAAGTGGATATTTTTTAGGATGTGAGAAGTATGTGTATGTCTCATCAAACATTTCATTTATATTAGTGAAATGAGTTTGAACAATTCAGATTCACTACACCAAGTGAGAGATATGCCTGACATGCCAGTGAAAGCTTTATTTAGATGGAGTTGAGGAATCTTTGAGATAACAGACTTTGGACTATGCTATCTTGAGTGTTGTAGCTGAGTAGTTTTCCCAGAATCTTTAAGACCTTTCTGAACTATTTTATGAATGAATTGAACTAGTGAAAAATAAGTATATTTTCTCTTTTGGATTTCTTAACTAGTCTAAAGAATATTGGCTTTAAAAGTTCATAAAATCAAATTTTGCATGAGAAATATTATTCTCACGTTGAGGCTGGTCTTGGCAGACCCCTGGGATCTTGTTCCGTTCACTCACACACCATTGAGATAACGAGAGTGAAGTGTGGGCTAAATAGGGACAGGGCTTGGACAAGGTCATTCCTGCCACAGCTCCAGAGACGCTAAGATCTGAAGGCCGCTGTGGTACATAGAAAGATGTTACACCAGTGTGTTTAAAAATATATAAATATTTTGGAAGGGTAAACATGAGGGTCCCTGTATTTGAGGAGGTAAAAGATGAGATTGAAGAGGAAAGAACAGGGGAAGACGAAAATGAAGAAGACAAGGTGAGTGAGGAAGGACCTACACAGGAATGGTATCTGTGCCTCTAAACTGATGATGAGAAAAACGTCTCTTTTTCTGTTTTTTGAACAGGTCTTCCTTAAGCCTGTAATTGAAGACCTGAGCATGGAATTGGCCAGAAGATGCACTGAACTCATTAGTGATGTAAGTGGCTTAAGTAATTTCTGCCTTATTTTGCATGGCATGTGTGGGGCTATTATATTATAGAGTCAGAGCCGGGGAGAAACTGAAGTCATCTCTTAAAACACAGTTATTCTCCTGATCATGGAAATAAGTTCAGAAATTTTAATTGATTTCTCCAAAGTCACCTATACAAAGAATTTCTGCTAGAGCAAGTCTCCTCGTTCTTTTTTTTTTTTTTTGAGTGGGAGTCTCACTCTTGTCAACCAGACTGGAGTGCAGTGGCTGCTCCTAGCCACCTAAGCCTCAACCTGCTGGGCTCTGGCGATCTTTCCACCTCAGGCTTCCAAGTAGCTGGAACTACAGGCGTGTGCTACCGTGCCCAGCTAATTTTTTGATTTATTGTAGAGATGAGGTCTCACCAAGTTGCCCAGGCGGGTCTCGAACCCGCAGGCTCAGGCAATCCACTCACCTCAGCTTCCCAAAGGTGCGGGATGACAGGCTGAGCCACCAAGCCCGGCTAGTCTCCTCGTTCTTAATGCAGAGTCCAGTCCCTGATGAATGTTGCTCTCACTCTGGCTTGAAAGGATAAGGCACTGAATTGCAAAGCATATTCCCCTTGAGAACCCCAAGACCTTAAGATCAGTACAGCAATGTAAGTTGTCTTGGGAGGATCTCTATCAAAATGAGTGATTTTTAACATCTGGGGGAGCCTTTGGAAGAATCTTATGAGGTGCAATCATTTTCCAAACCAGAAAATTGCATATACTTGTATACATATAATGTTTACTTACAATTTAGGATTTATGGACTACTAAGTTTTAATTTTTCATTTCATTTTCATCTTCATGGCATGCTAAGAACCTTGATCTAGATGATTATGCTGGTGAAAGAAGCATTTTTGTTGTGACTTTTTTCAGTAACTGAGACTGGTTTATTTTATACTTCAAGGGAATCCTAGAATTATAGCATTATTTAATATCTGTGTATTCATGGTAAATATATAAACTAGAATTCAGGAAGTACAAGGGAAAGTATTGCTCACTAGGGACAAGAATTTAGATGATGTTCATGGGCAGTTGTAAGAGAATTGCTGGTGCAGAGTAAAGATGGCTCCTGTGAAGCGAATATGTGCCTGTGTCTTCACAGAGATGAGCACAATACTGGTCATTTCTGTTGTTGTTAATAAGTAAAGTGGTCGGAATATTTACAAATGTCTGTTTCCAAAGGAGGTCAGTCCTGGGTAGTGGAGTAGTGCGCTGGCATGTCCTCCGAAGTCAACCTGCCTAGCTTGACTCCACAGTGACCTTGGGAAGGTCATGCAGCCTGGCTGGGCTCTGTTCTTCAGGTGTAACATTTAATGTGAAGTAAACTGTCTGGAACATTGTGACTACTCAAAAATGTTAGCTGTTATTAACGACCTCCCTCTGTAACTTACTTTTGCAGTCTTCCAATCACATTTTGTATATGACCCTGTGTTGCCTTCTGGTTTGTCAGAAAAAGTCAAAGGGTGGTAGTGGGAATCATACTCCTTCCCATATACTTGACATCCGATTAATTGCAATTTAAATGAAGTTTTTTAGCAGCAGTTAAGATGTATTGAGCAGTATGTGCCAGGAATTGTAGCTTGTGACATGGGTTCTGTTCTTTCATTTTAGTGATAAGAAGATGAAAGCACAGAGAGGTTACTAACTTGCCTGGGCCACGCAGTTAAGTGGAGGGTGTAGGAGTTGAACACAAAGCCCCTTCTCTTTACTCTACCATGTTATCTCTCACTGTAGATTTCCATGCAGAGTTTATCTTAGCTTATTATTATTTATCATGCTAATATTAGTAATAGCAGTGCTACCATTTTAAACCTTAAATTCCTGATGAGGAGAGAGTACCTCTTTTAGCTCTGATATATTTTTATTGAAGGGTAACTGTAGCTGAGCTAAATTGTTTTGCATAAACTATCAGGACTAAAGTGGTAGCTGTAGGTAGTAGGTGATTTTTTTGGAATTGATAAGATAGTTTATCAGTGGCTTTAAAACCAACCTAAGGTGGGGGCAATGGCCTTTATCATTTTCAAATGCAAAAGCCGTTTTATTTCATACCCATGTAGGTAAAATCAAATACATGCACATAATTTCTGTTTATTATAAATTGATGTTGCATGACAGAATGTCTGTACTACTTAAGTATTTAGAACATGATTATTGTGGCTTAATTTATGACTGTGTACACATTCACATTTTGCTTCCCAATAGAATGCTATACTTGTTAATATACTCATTTAATTTTTAGAATTTTTATCAATGAATAGTCAAACTCTTTATGTTTGTAATAAAATTAAAAAGAGGGCTTTATACAACCATCTTAAAAATAAATTTTAATTTATCCTTTCTAGCAGGACTTGGCATATTGGACTAAATCACATTTTTAGTTTTTTAGAAGTTTGGTTAAGTAGTATTATTAAGTAATAATTTGCTTCTTCTTTCTCGGTGTCATCAATGTTATTATGTGGAGCAGAACTTAAATTTGGAGTTCTTGTCTTTGTCATATTCCCTTGCATGGCCAGATGGCTGTCTAAAATGCATCAATCACAAAGCTCAAACAGATATAAAAATTGATGTAATGCTACCCTGAGTTAGACCTGTGCTCCAGTATTCTATTTCTGATTGTGCCCACATTTAATTAGTGCCCTGTTACCTCCCTTCCCCAGACTCAAACCTCAATTTCAACACAAACCTTCAAGTATCTTAGTTTCGTTTTTGTAATCCCTTATGCCCCAGCAAGGCATCCATGTGTTTACCTGATCCTTTTTGTTGGAAAGCAGTTTTGTTTTCAACCTCTGTCACCAAGTGAAGATGGCATGTTGTTTGCCTGCTTTACAGAGTTCTGTGTCCTGAAGCTTAAGGAAGCAGGCTCGCATGTTATCTGTCGATCGAGTCACACAACTAGTGAGCCACAGAGCTGAGATTTGAAGTGAGGTCTGCCTGATCTCAACCTTGGGGATGTCCTTCCTCCGCTGCTGTGTGCCAGGTCTTCCACGTGTATTTTTGTGTTCCATGCCATAGAGAGTCTGGGTCATATATGAGCCTCGGATCACAGATGTGACCTGTAGGCACTCCCCAGTCAACCTCTTTTTATAGATGAGAAGGGTGGTTTTATGGATTTCTCTTCAAGGAGCAGCCTTTCTAGATGCTCCTCATCATCTGAGTTAGTCCTAACTCTTTGGATCTCTTCCAACCTTTATATGTCCTTATTGGGGTGGAATGGCTAGAATTATGCAGAGTTGTCCAGATGCAGATGCCAGGGCCATGAGTCAAATAGGATGATGTTTTGTTTAGCTTCCAACACCCTTTGTGCTTCTGTGTAGTTTCTTGGACTTGTGAATTGCAGGAAGACGTTAGATCAATCTCTGTAGAACATCAGAGCCATTTTCCGTCCTGATTTCTGACTGGTAGTAATAGTGTAGGACCTATTATCTTTTAATAGTAGTTGGAGTTTTAACATCACTAGGGATGAATCTAATCTGGAGTTTTCTGGCCCTCTGAGAGTGTCTGAGGTTCATTTCTTTCAGTTTGTCATTTCCTTCTCTGAGACAGCTTGAAGTCAGCAGCAAACCTGCAGACTTGGCCGTATCATCCCCTTGCCAGACAATTGATAGAAATGTTAAATAAGCTTGGCCCAGCGATCAGTCCTGGGAGGACTGCACTCTTTAGAATTCTCCATAGGGAGAAATGTCAGTTTTTCAGGTTAAGTGGCTTCACTTTGGGGATTGGCATAAGACATTTTTCTTGTTGTCTGTCTTTTTTTTTTTCTGACCTAATTTCTGCTTTGCACTTGATTTACCCACATTGAGGGGTTTCCCTCTGCATAGTTCTCTTCTGAATCCTGAAGGACACTTGGACCTCTGAGTCAGCCTCTTATTCTTCTATCAGCCATATAACGCTTTTTATTTCCCCAGATAGTTTCTATCTCATGTTTAGTCCTATTAGTCAAATATCCAGTCAATTCTTTGACTGAATTAAACCTATCTATTGAGCATTCAGAATCATGGAACTAGTAGCTTTCTGTCAGGTGGTTATAAAATATATTGGACAAAAGGGAGTCTTTAGTATGCATAAAAATTCTTGTGCAGGCCAGGCTTAGTTGCTTAGCCTGTAATCCCAGCACTTTGGGAGGCCAGGGTGGGTAGACTTCCTGAGCCCGTGGGTTTGAGACCAGCCTGGGCAACTTGGTGAGATCTCGTCTCTACAATAAATCAAAAATTAGCCGGGCGTGGTAGCGCACGCCTGTAGTTCTGGCTACTTGGAAGGCTGAGGTGGAAGGACCCCCGGAGTCCAGCAGGTTGACACTGGAGTGGCTGTGAGCTTGTCACTACACTCCAGCCTGGGTGATGAAGTGAGACTCCAACTCAAAAAAACCCCACAAAAATCCTTGTGCAGAGCAAGTTTGCAGTGTGCAGCCCCTGACTCCATGTTTTTGTTCAAACCCCCTAAATGGGGTTCATTTGCATGGCAGCAGGAGCTACATTTTTCAGACAAATGAACATTGTTGTGGGTAAATCCTTCCAATGCCCAAAACATTGAAATCCATGGCTACCCCTCCAGAGAAAGCTTGGACAATAGGAGAAAACTTGGGAGAGAGTCTTGACTACGACTAGCCCAGTTAACAATGAAGGCGTTGCAGTTCTTTCTTCCAAGGTTTACTGAGTTTAACTGGTATGGCTTCACTTGTGAAAAGACCCTCTAGATGCTTTCAGTTAAGAATGCTTGTAAAAGGAAATATCCTCACACATTTTCACATCTGTCGTCCCATTTCAGCCCTTAGCTAACCTTGGACTCATTGAAAGAAACTTGGCCAGGGGGAGGAAGCAACCCGGAACTAATTTAACCCTAATTATAGCTGAGATGTTGGAGGATTCATAGCTAAGGTCAAAGGAGAAATATAAATATTTGGGGCATCTTAATGATCATAAAGTCATCGACTTTGCCTTTTTAAAAAAAAATTGAAAATATGTTGGGTTGTATGTTGGTTATGAGCACAGATGGTTGTAAGAACAGGAAAATCCTATCCTAACACAGTGGTTTAACAAATAGCTGTTTGTCCCCACCCCTCCCCCGCCACATATAAAACCTGGAGGTAGGGGTTTCAGTCTCTAATTTCCCTTCTGCTCTGTCATCATAGTACAGTGGCTTACTGCCTTGTGGTGACATCCTCGCTGCTGCCACCCTATGACTGGGGAAGAAAAAGGTAGAAGACTAAGTATCAAAGATTGTGCTAAGTCTCTCCCTTTATATCAGAAACACTAGAAACATTGCTGGAAAACGTCTTCTACCGTCTCATGGTCAGAGCTGGGCACTTGCTCTCCCCAGGTCAATCACTGGCCAAAGAGACTAGCATGACCATGCCTGGTTTAGATCAATTTGTCCTCTGGGGCTGGTGGCGGGGAGGTGGGCAGGCTATTCTCATGAGTCCACTCGGGTGCTATTAGAAGGGAAGGGGAATGGGTAGGCAATGTAGCCAGTAGATGACGCCACCCTTAGGTCGGAAGATGAAGTGTTGTGATGGGGACTAGCCACCTATTCAGTGATTCTTATTTTACCTGAGATTTCTGCTGTTGATTTATTCTGTTCCCTTTTCTCTATCATCTCCTACTGTCCTGACACAGGAAGGCTATACATAGGCATGCTAATGAATTGTATAGCATGAATGACGATATGCAAAGAGTGGTACATTGTAAAATACATCTTAAGTTTAAAGATACAAATGTCTGCATCTCTTCAGTAAAGACTAAAGAAAGAAATGGAGTCCACAATCAAGACCAAACTGTTTGCCTGCCTTGCCAGGAAGCAAACATCTCACCCTTATCCAGTGCTCCTGTCCTGAACATTCTGCTTACGTCAGACTTTATCAGGCGGCCATAGCCCAAGTGCATACCACTGCAGGAAAGAATGTGAATGTGTTGGGGAAAAGATGGTGGCAAAAGATAAAAATAATGAGTCAAACTTAAGCCTAATGATAGGTTATTTTCTCTCACACTTAATTATATAACGGAGATACTTTTTCTTTTTCTTCCTTATGATCAAAATAGCCTACTATTTATCATACTGCCATTAACAGTTTAATTACTAGTGACTGAGGAGGGTGATTTGTGGGAACCTAAAATTATGGCTAATCTCTGAGAAGAAAAAAAGTAATTTAGTGCTCGGATAAGATAAATATGTTCTCATGTTGATTTCATGAATAAAGCAAATGTTTAATGTGGTAGGCATTTGATATCTGAGAGCCACAGCAGTGAAATATGGTCTTCGGAAATAACTTTACTTAACCTATTTGTGTCTGGTTCTACCTCAGGTCAAGTAATGCCCCTCAAATTAGGTTTTCATATGGTAAAGTTTCCGTGTAACATTTATGTGTAACATCAATGTTCCTCATGTCCTCTAAGAACCAGATAGTACATACAGTTCGGCTTCATTTTTGTGTTATAATTAGGGAGATCATATAATCTATCATCTGAATTAGGACACTTTTTTTCAGCTGAAGTCTTTGTGGTCTGGGGTAGACAAACATGGCTTTATTACAGGGGGACACCAACTTTAGCAAATTGCCTCCAACTTCTCGGTGAGTCATAGTTTTGCCTTCCCAGTTTTCAGGTTGTGCAGCCATTAGTGTGATGGTGTGATGACATTGTAGGTCCTTCTCCACATCTCCTGACTTCTTTTGGGCTCACATGTCCATGCTTGGTTTTTCCCCAGAGTAACAATTCTGGCCTCTCCCCAGGGGGAAGGGGTGACTCATTTTACTTGTCTTTTTAAGAGCAGAAAGGAGTCTGGCCCACTGATCTGATCCTCTGTGGGCTTTCTCTTGCTGATCTGCCTGCCCACAGCCAGGGGAGATTCTGGAATGATCTCCACCACGTGGCAAGCTTTCTAGGCAGGTTCTGCTCTTGTTTCAGGAAGGGAAGGAGAATGGGGAGGCCTATGGGTGCTCATAAATGAGGTAAGTTTGACTTGGGGGGAATTAATTAGTAACAGGAAGCCCATCGTGGTCACAATTTAAACCCTTTCCTGTAATCAAGCATGTATAAGTAAGAATACTAATAGTAATCTCCACTCATTTAATTCCTGCCTCTCTACTTCTTAATCGGTTACATCTGTCATGATGACTATTTATTTTCTGCTTTGAGGTAGGCAGCTATGTTTCTGCTTGGCCATAGATTTAACTATTAAGGACAGGACTCAAAATAACAATAAGCTAGGACACTGGTGGGCATGAGATGGAGCATGTTTGCTAATGACACTGGGCAGACTGGACAGGACCCATCGTCTGTGGCTGACAGACCTGGTGCTGATCCTTACAATAACTGAACCCTTCTCACCTAAAGAATAGTCTCTCCTCACTACACCTCATCCCATTTGCAGTTCTGTGCTAGATATTCATGTATTTGATTTGGCTTGTTGTGAGGATCAGTTCCCATTTGAGTATTTATTTCAGGAAATGGACTTTATCAACTTAATTCTCTGTTCAAAAAAAGGCCATTATAATTGTTTTTCTTCTTTCTCTTATGAAAATTGTTCTCTTTTTTAGATCCATTATAAAGAAGAGTATAGAAAGTCTAAGGACAAGTGTACTTTTGTGACTGACACGCCTATGCTAAGCCATGTGAAAAATATTGGCACTTTTATTTCTGAGGTAAGATATCAGAAACTTGCAAACTGGCTTGTGTTTTACTCTTTAAATTTATATAGATAAAAGTACGTGCATTAAAATTGGAGATTATCTTCAAAAGCACCATTGAATGTTGATGATGGTAATATCTATATAATTATCTGATTCTATGTACTATGTTAATGAATTCATGTGAATTGATATGTCCTACTATATATGGCTTATATATTTTGACTCTAGTGCTTTCTTGTTTATATAGAATTCCTCTGAAAGGGGATATTTTTATTCAGTAAGTAGAAAACACTGGTAAAATAGTTAATTTTAGAAGTTCCATTATTTAGTTTCCTAATAGACTTATTAGAGATACACTGTTGAATCTCATTTTGGAAATAAAAGTAAGATTTATTAGCTTTCCATAAAATGTGATACCCTTGACAAATAATTCCAAATGAATTTAAACTATTTTCGAGTGGGGATAAAATGTAGTTTACCAGGGATACCTATTATGAAACCACAGAGTGAGAAATACACTATATTCATGCTGAAAAATCATGTAGTCTCTTTCTGAGAGCATTAGAAGTGCAGTTTATGTTGCATTGTAAAGCACAATGTTAACAGGGATTTCTGTGATGAGGCATCACTGCAGTCTGTGAATAGATCACATAGAAGAGAGAAATTTGGAAAGAGAATGAATAAAATAATATTGTCAATGACTGACCTCTAGTGTTTCATAAATTATGCTGGAAAAAGATCAGTGCGATGTTCTGGGGATTATTTCTGCTAACAGGAAACAATTTTGAGGGAAATGAGTACATTTTCTTTTCTTAAGTACCAAGATCCAAAGAGAATGGGAGCTTACTCAGGATATATGCTGAACAAATCAACACTCAAATCTAGCTCTGAGTGGGAGGAACATCAGGGACTTGTCTATAGAGCATGGACGAACACGGTTTTGTTTATTTGTATTATTAGTTCTCCAGTGCAGAGAAATTCTTGATGTTCTAAATCATTGATTATTTTTCCTGAAGGAGTTAGCTGCTGAGCAAAAAATTAGAAGTGGGCAAACTACTGTGTTCCCTTGAATCTAGTTTTCTTAAACTAATGGTCAATGAATGTTTGTCTCTGCAGGTAATGATTGAGATGGTTTAGAGACACGCAGATTAGAGGTGGCAAGGCACAGAAACAACAGAAAGGCACTGCATGCCTTCCCTCTCTCCCCTCCCCTCCTCCCCTCGCAGCAGGAGGAGGTTGAGAAGACTTGAATAAAGGAAGACTATCCTTTGCTTTCAGGTTCTGGACAGCAGATTCTAACGATTTGTATTATCTGGAACAAACCTAATGTCTCATTGTTCTCAGATTGTTTGCTCACTCATCAAACATGAAACTATCAGTATACACAAATAGATTTACTTTTAGAAATGTGCGTGGTTTTAAATAGACAGTCATTATGTTCTTGCATATCTCATTTAAAGCTTTCTGTATTCTCTATGATAAGCTGGATTCATTTCTGTCTCTTCAGAATATGTTCGTCAGCTCCAGTATCTAAAATTAAAATGGTCTGTGGATTTTTAAATCAATTCTGTTTCTGAAAAAAGTTTCTTTTTGTTTTTCCTTTTATATTCACGGAAAAAAAAAAGAAATGTTTATTTTTTTTCTTTTTTCACTCCCAGGCAAAATACAAAGGCACCATTAAGACAGATCTTTCCAACTCTCTGTATAAGCAGATGCCAGCCACAATTGAGAGTGTTTTTGCAAGAGAAGTGACCCAGCTTCAGAGTGAGGTGTGGTTTTCCTTAATTGTTATATAATTATGTAGCTAAAACATAACCTGCTATAAATTACTTAGCATTTTAATAAAAGATTTTAATCCTGGATGCTAAATGCTGGCTAAAAGTTGTAAGCAACTGGGTAGTGTGTGGTCAGTAGTTGCTGGTGAAATCTCAGAACATGAAAAGGCCAAGCAAGCTTATGTCAGTCATGTGATGCTGTTTTCCAAGTCCCATTCAGCCCTATTTACAGAGCAAATTTTAATCTCATTTAGACAGCTTACTTAGTTGAAATTCTCATAGTAAAGATTAAGCTATTCTCTGATTTAGTAGATGATCCCTAAGTGAAGAACATTTCAATAGCTTGTTAAAAGTCACATAAAGAGATGATGGTTGAATTCAGGATCTACAGATTTATGTTCCATCAATTAGACATATAGTTCCTGAATTACCTTTTCTGTGAATTGTGTTTTTCATTTATAATATCTCAGGCTACCAAAAATGGCCTCTATCAGGTGGAAGTGGCTATTTTGGTGATTGCAAGTTGCAGAGGAACTTGAGAACTGTTATCTTGTAAACTCATTTTGAATCCAGAAGAGTTTAGGGGTAATTTTCCCTCTGTAGTACTTCCACACATAAGGCCTTCTTAATGCATTTAATCTATTGCGTTTCTCAAAACAAAAATTTCACCTTTTTCTGACTCATTTCATTGTTGTGCTTTTTTTTTTAATAGAACAGTCTGACTTTTTTTTTGGTCTGTTTTGTTAATCTGATACTTGGCTGTCTAGACTACATGAGAGCAGGGACCACATCTGTCTTGCTCCTTGCTCTACTCCTGTGTTGGGGAATCCTTGAAATAGTCCCTGGCATATCGTGTTCAGTAAATACTTGTAAAATGGATTTTTGTTGAATCTGTTGATTTCTTTTTAAGGATATGCTTCCTTTTACATGGTGTGTATTCTTCATACCACATTTAAGGTTAATAGTAATAGTAAACACATGGAAGTGCTGTGTGGCAGGTGCTGGTCTATTCAGTTAACATATATGTATTTCTTTTTTCTTTTTTTTTTTGAGTTGGAGTCTCACTCCAACTCAGACTGGAGTGCAGTGGCTGCTCCCGGCCACCGCAGCCTCGACCCGCTGGGCTCCGGCGATCCTTCCGCGTAGCCGGAATTACAGGCGCGCGCTACCACGCCCGGCTGATTTTTTGATTTATTATAGAGATGAAGTCTCGCCAAGTTGCCCAGGAGCGTCTCAAACCCGCGGGCTCAGGCAATCCACTCACCTCAGCCTCCCAAGGCGTGGGATTACAGGCTGAGCCACCGAGCCCGGTTTATATGTATTTCATTTAATCCCATGAGGCATCCCATTTTAGAGGTGTGAGAACTGAAGCGCACGGAGGTCATGTAACCTATCCAAGGTGACATAGCCAACATATGGCAGAACCAGCACATGAGCATGGATAGTCTGACTCTACAGCCTGGGTTTTTAACCACACATGATACCATCTCCTTCCTACCATTTCTACCCTTCTTTTTCTTATTAAACAAGTTTACTTAAACAGTCTGAAAATAGTCTTGAAAAATGCCAAGCACAGTTATCTTTTGCAAAACACTGTTAAGTACTTCATTATTACAAAGTTATGTGTTCACTGTGTATCCAACTTGGCAGTAAGCTAATCTCAGTTAGGTAACATGAGGCTAAAATATATGATGCCAAGGTTGTGCGTGGCTGACTGTGACTAATGTGCTCTTTATTTTTTCTGCCAACATCTGGTCATCTAACCACTTGCTGATAATATTGACTACTTTAAGAAGCAGATAATTATAACACAACACTTGATATATGACAAGCAACAATTAAGCAATAAGAAAAGAAACAAAAAAACTTTTCTTATTTTTATACTTATGTGGGAAGGTAACATTGTCACATACTTGCATCCTCATTTCTTTGGAAGCACACAACTTCTCTCACCTTTTTAGAGCATAAATAGGTGTATAGTACATAAATACATGCAACATAGAATTTAACATGAAACGTAATCCCGATTTGTCAGAAGAGATGATCGCATACTTTGTTAACGTACGTTAGCCTGAACTAGAGTGGTCACTCCTGGGGAGGATGTGTGCATTTTCAATTAGTTGTGCTCACCGTTGTTGTAATCAGCCACTGAACTTGCTAGTAAAGAAAAACCTGGGCTCTGAGTAAGGTGTTTATTTCAAAGATTTGCATAACTGAAATAACATCTCTTTAGATTTATGTATATCAACTTTATTATTGTCAAAATTGTGATTCTCAGAATTAACCTGGTAATAAGAGGCAAGAAAGTAGAATTATTTGACAGTGTCTGTGATAATAACTCTCAGATGCTTAAATTCAAATTAGTGATGAGATAAAGTTAGCTAGATTAACACTTATAGGAAATGACTGAAAGGAAGAATACTTAAAACAGAAAGAGAAAGAGATGTGGAGTTTTGAGAAGGCCATTTTATTAGCTGACCGCAGTTACAATTTTATAAACAAAGATCACAAAGAAAGCTTCTGAAAATAGAACAGACTGTGCCAGATTATGGTGGTTTCAGGCAAAGGTGGAATAATCCCTCATCACAGAAGCAATTCAGGCTACTCAGGCATCTTTCTGAGAGTCTATATTTCATGTATAGTGACCACAGGATCCAGTTTCAAGAGTTCAGAGGTGTTGATGCTATGAAATTAAAAACCCATTTCCCTGTGTAGTATTTATAAAATATACTGTAAGTTAAACCTATAGGTGCGTGTATATATATATATGTATATATGTATGAAATACAAAATATACTGTAACATCAAATATATAAGTATACATTGCTTATCTAAACATATGTATCTATAAAGTATTTAAGACTTTTGCAAGTGGACTTTGTCCCTAGATTTCTAGTACTATAGTAATCTTAGTTATCAAAGTGTGAAGAACATAGTGTTAATCTAGGGAAATTCTACACCATAATGACAATTCCTAAGAAATCAAATTTATCAGCAAATTTATTGGCTTGACACAATTTTCCATTAGCTATTTTAAGGAAGAAAATTAATATGATAAATTAAAGTTCAGCTGCCTCCAATTTGATGTAATCTTAATTCTAAAGTGGTACTTAGTAGCTGCTATAAATGAAATGACTATTTTAATGCTGCAAGTAGAAAATTACATAGCCTTTTTAAGAAAGAGTGCTTTTTAAAATTGTGCTTGATGACTCACCATTTCTATGATGACCCACAAAATGATCAGCTTCATTGGTTTCATTAATAAAGTCACAAGTATGATAGTAGGTCTAAAACACAAAATAAACCAGACATCTATCAAAAAGGAGCAGGCAGATACTAGCTCTTTTCATTTAAAAAGAAGGAACATATCTCCTAGAAGCTTTTCTTTGGCTTTATAGACTTGGGCACCCATTAAACTCCATCTTCTTCTACTGCAAAGTTGCATTATAGAATGTAATGAAGCCAAGATAATGGACTTTCTCAGCCTGAATGAAGTTTCCTAAAGGGTTTCCTGTATAATATAATTAATTGGTGAAAATGTAAAGATATGGTCATAAAAATTAGAAATCTTGATGGATTATATTGATGGACAGACTCTAATAAAATCAATTATTCCTGGAATTATTTGAGATGCTACATTTGAGTCCTGGTAACCAACCAAATACATAGGGTTAGTTGTAGAATCTTGGCTGGTCAGGGCTGAATAAGACTAAGGGCAGAGATCTTAACATAGCCATCAAAAGGAAAATGTTGTGACCTTTGGATTCATTATTAGCATTTAGCACGAGGACGTTGATAACCTGGATTAAATTAAATAATTCTAATTCAGATTGATCAGACTTTTATGGGCACTTAAGAAAAGAGATGGATAAATTGAGATTTGGGATGGCGAGAGCATCGAGGGTGTTCAACAGTTCGGCATGTTAGTCCATGCTGACCATCTGGAGGAATAGAAGTCATCGGTGGCTGTTTTTTTACATTGGAAATTCTGTCTTGTGAACTAGGCTCTTTTCATATGGCCACAGAAATGTAGCTATGGGGAGATAGATTGAGGTTTCATTAAAGGAAGGACTTTCTTTTTTTTTTGAATTGAAGTCTCACTCTGTTGTCCACGCTGGAGTGCAGTGGCATACTCAGGGCCACCCCAACATCGACCTGCTAGGCTCCGGCGATCCTTCCACCTCAGCCTTCCAAGTAGCTGGAACTATAGGAGCATGCTACTATACCCGGCTAATTTTTTGATTTATTGTAGAGATGAGGTCTCGCCAAGTTGCCGGGGCTGGTCTCAAACCCACAGATTCAGGCAATCCATTCGCCTCGGCCTCCCAAAGTGCTGGGATTACAGGCTAAGCCAAGGGAAGAACTTTCAATTCAAGCTTTCAAAATTTAGAGACTGTGATGTCCCAGGTTGAGTTCACTTTCAGTAGAAAATTTTAAGAAAAACTAGGAGGGGAGCAAGAGTGGGGATTTAAGCATCAATAGTACTAGGTGACTTTTTTTTGGATAATAAGATTCAATGATTTTTAAAAAATCAGTTTTATAATGACCACTTTAATAATTTTAGTAGATATATTATTAAGTTAAATGGGTGGTTCATTCTGTTTATAAAAATCCATGAGTTTAGGTCCTGAGAATGTTTAATAAACTCATTTATTCATCTATTCACTAGACAGTGATTGCATTTCTACTCTGTGTCATTCACTATGACAGGCACAGGATATTAAAAGATGTATGAGATAGAGGTCTCTAGGAGCTCATGTCGGTAAAAACTTCTTAAAAACTTTCTTCTTGAAAACTAGACCTTGTTTTGTTCTTGATGAATACTGCTCTGGTTTGTCTTTTTATGTTGCCTTTATTCTTTTGCGCCAAGTAATTTTAACTCTATTCAGCATCCTTTTAGTATGAAACTTTTAATTTATTTTACAGTTAATCTTGCCTTTCCTTCCTTCGTTGATTGTTGATTTATTCTCATTCTTGCAGTTATTCATTCATTTATTTATTCATTTTTGGGACTAACATTCATTGATGCCTGTTTGTGCCAGGCCATATCCTGGGTTCTGAGGACTCAGTGAGTTGAACAGTTACCTTCTAGTAAGGGGAGACAGATTATAAGTAATTATACAAAAATAAGCAAAGTCAGTAAACATTGTGATGACAATATAGGACAAAGGTATAAACTGAGAGTGAGGGGATAACTTGGTTGTTGTCTTTAGACTCTTCTGAAACTTCCAATTTTGTGGTTGAGTTTGGTTACATCTGTTTCTGAGGTATCTGTCTCATGCTCCTTCTTCATCTCAGTATGGAGGAAATTTAACATGGTAGTAATGGATGATATTGGTCCATTTCCCTAATGGAGGCCAAGACTTGACATATTTGAGAATTTTGCATGCATGTTATATTTTCTCCCAAAGATTTGTGCATTTAGTGAGGTTTATATTATTTAATAGCAGTGTCTATGTGAAAATAAGGTTCATTCATTTAAAAACAAACAGTTCAGTTTTAAATATCCTATAATTCCTCCCTACTTAGTAAGTTATTTTCACAAGATTTAAACCTTGAACATTGGTAACCCTTAAGGCTCTTGGGTGATTTCCCGAAACTGTACCTGATGTTTAAGCTAGATGAATAGAAGTAGGGGATTTTATCTTTGGTGAAGACATTTAGAAATAAATTTTTTTGAAAAAGAGTTAGAATTAGGAATGTAAACAGAAACAGATGAAAGCATTTTGGGTGTTATCTTTTTATGGAGTTTTAGGCAAATTTTACTATAAGTGTTAGTATTAAAATGTATAAAATCCTAGCAAAACACTGAAATTTAACACACCTCTAAATGGAACTAACAATTATTTGTGTTTTTAAAGGTTGCCTACAAGCAGAAACATGATGCTGCCAAAGGATTCTCAAATTATGCCCACATGAAGGAGCCCCCTGAGGTCAAACACGCCATGGAGGTCAATAAACACCAGAGTAATGTAAGGAAGTTCATGTCCCATGATTTTCTAGAAAATTGTAGTTAACCCACATCAGGGCTTATGATTATTTTGTTGAAATTTAAATATCATGGTGCCCCTATTTCAAAAGGACTTTAACATTTCTTATCAGCGAGAGGTACATCTGAATTATCTTGTCTGCAGCCACTAACACTTTATTGGATGACTTTAGACTATCAGACACTTTCAGGAATTGGACATTTTGCTTTGCACAAGACAAATATGGATCCTTTGAATCTGTTAGATGATTAGCATTTCCAGAGCTTACTTGACTTGATGCTGAGGCTTATAATTTCCAGTCTAGAATTGCAGAAGAACTGGAAGAAAGAGCATCGGAAATCAATGACTCATGGAAGAATTGTTCACAAACACTCGCTAGCATGTAATCCATTACTGATTTTTCTGGAATGCTTGTGGGGAGCAGATTGTCCAACTTGCGACTCATGGGGAATATGAAAACAATAGATGTCTACTGACTAACTTACAAGAAGCTAAGAGGGAGGAAGTTAGCCTATAGAAAATGAATTTGCCTGAGCCTGCGGGTTCGAGACCCACCTGGGCAACTTGGCGAGACCTCATCTCTACAATAAATAAAAAACTTAGCCGGGCGTGGTCACGCTCGCCTGTAGTTCCAGCTACTCAGAAGGCTGAGGCAGAAGGATCGCCGGAGCCCAACAGGTCGAGGCTGCAGTGGCCAGGAGCTGCCACTTCACTCCAGTCTGGGCGACAGAGTGAGATTCCAACTCAAAAAAAAAAAAAAGAAAAAAAGAATTTGCAAGCCTGGGGAACATACCAAGATCCTGCCTCTACAAAATTTTTAAAAAGAAAAATTAGCTAGGCATGGTGGCATGAGCCTGTCGTCTCAGCTACTCAGGAGGCTGAGGTAGGAGGATCACTTAAGCTCAAGAATTTGAGGCTACAGTGAGCTATGATCATGCCACTCCACTCCAGCTTGAGTAACAGAGTAAGACCTTGTCTCAAAAAAAGAAAGAAAAAAAATGAATTTGTTCTTTGGTTGTAAGTTACCATATACATGGAGGCTTTCATGCATGTGTTTAATTGCCACTACTGTTCTGTGGCCTAGAAGGGTAATTCCTTCCTGAAATTGCAAGGGAAGCGTATTTGCTGCCTCATTATGACTTCTGTGCTTCCCAAAAGGAGTGTATGACCTGTTTGTCAGGGTTCTTTAAGCATTAGAATTAGTTAAGATGAAGTGTCTGTCCTAGTTGGGTCAAGAAATTCCCTTTCTTGGAAAAGTATCTGAGCATGTTCGTCATCTCACGTGCTCAGAGTCAGTTCCACCATTAGCTGTTTTTTTCTGTTTTGTTTTTTTAACTCTGAATGGTGCTTTGCTGACCCTGAGCCCCCAGAGCCAAGCTGTACAGTTTCTCTCTGCAGGATGGCAACAGTTATTTGATACTAAATTACAATAGGTCAATGTTTAAGTAAAAACAGAGTGAGGTTTTACATTTTAACCCAAATGCATAAACATACACCAACACTAAAGCACTTTTCTAAGATGGCTTAAGATTACTAGGAGATGGAGAAGCTACATGTCTGTAATTATTTTAAGGGGATGCTTTATAAGAACTGTTTGCTTACAGAATGACTATAATAATCATAATAACTACCACTTACAGAGCACAGCCATGCACCAGGAACTGCGCCAAGACTTTGATCATTTCCAATTCTCACAAAACTCCTGTACTGATTTCCATTTTCTAGATGAGGAAAATGAGACTAAGAAATCAAACTCCCGAGTCTGCCCTTTTCTGTTACACCTTGCAGCCTTCCTCTTAAAGGTCGCTGGCAATTAGTCAAGATTTTAAATGAAATGTTTAAAATGGGGAGCAAAATAGGTTATCTTCAGTATTCAGATGCACTGCAGGAAAGAATAACTGAGAAACTCTCAGCCTGAGTTCCCACTACTTTGACACTGAAGAGACTTTGAATTTACATAAAAGACTGAGGGTTAGAAGGTGGTCTGGTGGTCTGGGGTGGGCGCTGGTGTTCCACGGATCCTCGGGAGGCCCTTTCTAACTCTATAAGTCAATGAAATTCAAATACGGAAGTTCCTTATCATAGAACTGAGCTTATTATTTTAACTCTGCCTTTTCTTTTAAAAGGTCTTTGATTGAGGGATTGAGGGAATAGAGTATAAAGCCCTTTTCTCCTTCATTCAATACTGTGTACTTATGGGAGAAGGATGTGTTTACTTACACTCCTCTGCCTACTCAACTCAACCTTTACATGCAAAGTTTGTACATATAATAGGATTTAGAAAGTGTTTAAGACTATTTACTCAGATTTAAAGTGAGAATGATATTTGTATTCTACCTGGGAAGTAGTTGATATTCCTCTAGAGCAAGCCACTTCGAATAATACATTTGTTGTTCCTACAATATGAAACTGAAACGTAGATCTTGAAAGCCACCAGGAAAGCTAGAACACCCCTTCGTTCAGTGGTGGGGGGGGGGATCTATAGACTCGCCATAAAAAACAATCTCCCTTAAGTCTGTCTCCCATAAAACTTCACCCCAATGAAACTTATTGCAGAGAATTTACTAGCAGAATTATCCATTCATAATGTGGACTGTCACTTTACACTGTGGCTATAAATGACTTAATTTAATTTAAAATAAAAACAAGTTGCTTAATCAATCTCTTCTCTTTTCTTCTCTCTCTCTCTCTCTCTCTCTCTCTCTCTCTCTCTCTCTCGCCACGGTCTCACTCTGCCACTCAGGTCTCACTCTGCCACTCAGGCTGGAGTACAGTGGCACAATCACAGCTTACCACAGCCTTGACCTCCTGGGTTCAGGTGATCCTTTCACCTCAGCCTCTTGAGTAGCTGGGGCTACAGGCATGTGTCACCACACTTGGCTAGTGTTTGTAATTAAAAAAAAAATTTTTTTTTTTAGAGATGATTTCTCACTGTATTGCCCAGGCTGGTCTTGAACTCCTGGACTCAATCCCACTTCAGCCTCCTAAAGTGTTGGACAGGCGTGAGCCACTATGCCCGGCCAAGTTGTTTTATATATCTAAATCTCAATTTTCTCATCTATAAAGTGGGGATAACAATATCTACTTCAGAGGACTCTCACAGGTATTAAATGATATAATATATGAGAGGTGACCCTCCCCCAAACCAGAATTTATTTATAAAAATTATGTATTTATTCTTACGTGCTTAAACTTCAGTGAGCTTCAGAATACTCTCCATTTGATGCAATACACCTATCAAGATGCTTTTGCTACTGCTCAAAACAGTTTTTTTTTTTTTTTTTTGAGCTGGAGTCTCACTCTTTCTCCCAGGCTGGAATGCAGTGCCAAGTTCACGGCCACCACAGCCTCAACCGGCTAGGCTTAGGCAATCTTTCCACCTCAGCCTTCCAAGTAGCTGGAATCACAGACACATATCCACCATGCCCAGCTAATTTACTTTATTTTATCTTTTATTTTCTTGTAGAGATGTGCTCTTGCCAAGTTGCCCAGGCTGGTCTCGAACCCTGAGTTCAGAGAGTCCTCTTGCCTCAGTCTCCCAAATTGCTGGAATTACAGGCATGAACCACTGCACCCAGCTCTAAACATTTTTTGAACTCATCAATTTTGATACCTTTTAGTACTTCTGCCATTTTTTGTTTCACCTATTCCACATTGGCAAAACATTTATCTTTGAGGAATTTTTTCATCCAGGGAAACAAAAAAGGTCACTGGGGCAAGATCGGGTAAAGGGGGGGGGGCATTGGTGAAAAACTCTGAACATTCAGTGCATTGTGGACAGGTGTTCCCATAAATCACCCATTATGAAATGGGCAAACTGTTGAAAGACTCTCCAAAAAAATTTCACTGAAGCCAAACAGCCTCTCACAACTCAAGCTGGTACACAGATGGCAATAGGTTCTTAGAACTCTTACCTAGCATGGGAAGCCTGTACTACAAGGAGCCCTACCTCCAAAAAAATAATTCTGTTTTTTTGGGGGGCGTTCCCTTTGTATGTAAAGGATTCTGCAGAAGAATTGTTCAATAAAACATTAGCCCTGTTTGGCTATCCTTCAGTTTTTAAAGGGTGACTTGAGAGTTTAGAGTGATATCATAGTTAATTTGAAACAATTAAATACATTCAATCTATGAAAGGACAAATCAACATGAATTTTATTTTAGGAAATGTATAGGCCAGAAGGATATATTCAAAAGTGTCCTAAACTTATCTTGTTAGTACTATAATCAACAAATAATTAAAAACAGCCAACCAAAATCCTATTGTATCTTAAGGGATGTACCCCTGCCAAATTTTTATAATGTAATTAGAGAAACTGGAGATATTCTATCCTGTGACTTTCCCCTAAAGATGAATTTATAATGAAAACCCCAGATATATTATTAGTTCTCAGCAATCTTATCAGAGACATGATGTCCAATAGTTCTGAAATAAGTTAAACAAATTTTAAGCTGCCCTTTTATGTTTTATAAGTGATGCAGTCTACACAGGCTTGTGATGAAATTGGAGTGGTAAACTTTTCCAAAACACCATATTGGTAATCAATTCAATGTGTATTAGAAAGAAGTGTTCAGCATGGGAAATAAGACACTTAATGTTCTTTTCAAGGAAGATATATATACTTTTTAAAAATTAATAAAAACTTATCAGTAGACAATTTCTATTCCAACAGACAGTGAAAAAGCTTAAAGATAAATCAGAAAAGTGATACTAGAAAAACAATCATGGCTCTACATGGCTCCCCAATGTGACTTGCAATAGCAGTGCTTTAGGATTTAGTATTAAAATAGATATTTTAGGATTTGTTCATCTCTTAGCCAGAATAGTTAGTAATGCTAATTCTGCTTTCTTCATGAGATTGTGGTGCAATAAAATTAAACCATGAATAAGAAAACTTTTTATCTACTCTAAAATGATTTTTAAATAATGACAGCAATCATATAAGTCACTCTAACTATAGCTCCCTATTTTACTCCATCTTTTA